AGACTATTTTAGATTCTTCTGATCCAGAGGGGTCGAATACCATATTTATGATATTGTTCTGTGTGTGAACCCTGGGTGTCATCAGATTTGGACAATGATATAGTAAAGCGTCTTTGAATGCCTTCTACTTTCTTTCGACCATCTTGGGGCATTATGCTAAGGAAAATCGAGCAGTACTCTTGGAGAGGTGAAACGTACATTTTGGAAAAGTTGCCTTTTAAGTGCATTTAGGGTACAATTTTCGCATGTTGATCCACACAGACGAGTGGCTTTTTGCGATAATTGTTGAATGTGAGGATATAATTCAAGGGAATTTGTATAATTTAGACCTAAGTATTTTATTGATTGGGCTTCTGTTATTTCATTATCCTCGAATATTATGGGGAAAATTTCTATGGGCCAAAAATCCGGAGGTGACATTTTGCAGGTGAGAATGGCATTTGCCATTGGATATTCCAATCACAAAGTATTCTTAAATCGGTTTCGATTGTTCTGTCGATGTTGGCTACTGTATGCTCCTTATATGCGTATGCGAGTTTTAGATCTTCTGCATATAAAAACGTCTTAGCTGATACTGAGATGGACGATTAGGCGTAAATATATATGAGAAGTAGAAGGGGACGTAGGAGAGTGCCTGAAGTACTCCACTGGTAATGTGGAATGGGCCTGAGATAGCGTTTCGACTCTGCAAAATTTGATATCGGTTTTGAAGGTAGTATTTGAGAAAATCGGGAAGGGGTGGTCTAATTCCATGACTTTTTAGCTTTATCAGTAGTATTTTATGGGGGACTTTGCCAAAGGTCTTCCTCAGGTCGGACTATATTGTAGTTACTATGTTTCTGTCATCCCTATTGTTGGAGACGAGTTCTAGAACAGTGGGATGGCAGGACCGACATGACTTTTTAAGTTAATTGGCATGCTGAGGGGAAAAATGAAGATAATGTTTATGAGATGATTTAGCAGTTGGTTATAAACTATTTTCTTGATGATTTTAGCTGTTGCCAGTGTTCGGTGGACACTACGATAGCTTCGGGTATGAGGTCGGTTGCCGCTTTTAAAGACAGGTCCAATTCTGGAGTATTTCTAAATGTCTGGAAAAAATGCACTTGACTGTAGTAGGGAGAATAGTTTAGATAGGAGTATTTGAGCATATGTCATATGCTTCAGAATTCATGGCGGGATTTTGTCCGTCCCATAGAAACCGACGTTGGCTATCCGTTTGGTAGCTACTTTAACCATTTCTTCACTAAGACAAATCCTATTAAGGATGGGTTCTGTCATCTCGGTTAATTGGGGGATCGGTTTCTCCCCGACTATATAGTTATTTGAGAACTATTTGCTGAATAGATTTTCTATGCGGTTGTCGTTCGTTATAACTTGTCCTGATTCATCAATCATGGTTCGGGGTCAGGGCTTTTGATGACTATTCATTTGTTTTTGAAAAATATGAGCTGTTCGTTCGGGGATTCTAGTGCCCGATTTTTTGCTGCTATGATAGTTTGTGTTTCCATTTTGATAAAAAGGTCGTGAATTTCTTTGATTACTAGGAGCGTTGATAAATAACTTACAGAGGGGTTGTACAGCCTTTTTACAGTTTTATTTAGCTTCTTGGAAATGAAATTTGGGATCAATAGTTTATTATACGGGAATCTTTCGCCAATCTGTGGATATGCTTAGCTCAAATATCCCTTTAGTCCAAGTAGAGCCTCCCGCCCCCCTAAATCGTCCAAACCACGCCTCTCCTAGTTGTAACAGAACATCAGCGGAGGAAGTATTCGATCCGTTGATATATGGCGACATAGGCAGCACTTCTGAAAAGCCATTGAACAAGCGTTTAAAGTTATTGGAATAATAAGCTCTGAAACTGAGGGCAGGATAAAACGCAGAGATAATTTTGGACTGCAAAACATTCCAAGTTATTTATCTGCCATTGAGGGAGTGCATTTTTTCCTGCAAAGTTGTGACTTGGGTTTCAGTGTCGCACAAACTAAACGACTGCGCTTGCCAGGCCGTAATGCTCTGATAATAGTTACCCTTTTCTCCCTGATGGAAGTCGATTTTATTTTATCGAGAAGAAAGTTAACTAGAGAATTCGGCCGTAAATGGGACTGCTCGGTTTCGCCAGGCCCCATACCAATGCAGCAAAAACTGAGTAAATTGAAATTGTCAAAAACCAACAGCGACATAATGACACATATTGTCAGTTTGAATAAGTCGTCTTCTTCATCATTACCTGCGGTCTCTCCACGTCACGCCTTAGTCAATTCCGTAGGGAATTCGACTACTCTTGATGATAAGATCTTTAGACGCATCAACACGCCTGGCATACAAAGGCCCCTACCGACCCCCTCAGCAACCCCTTGCAAGCCTAAGCATGTGCCTTAGTCAAAGGCGGATTCAAATGCCGTCTCAGCCACTCAAACACCTGGTAAATTCAGCTCCAGTATGAAATCGTTTCTTTCGCAATCGTCTAACACTGCCTGAAACACCACGGTCCAAAACATGGCGTGTTTCCAATTACACCCGGCCCTCATGTCGAGGCGGTTAGGATGAATATACCGATATTCCCGCCCTTTAATAGAATTCATGCTCATATGGAAGCAGTGCGCACCCCATCCCCCAACATATTTCCTCTACGGCCGTTTCAACAATGCATTTCTCATGCTAATGTCCATATTGGGTCAGCTAACTCATCCGCTCCTCAATTTCGCACTGGCAGTAATACGTTACAGTATCCGGCTCATGGATTTCCATCGGAAAATGAGCTAAATAACAATGGTCACTAGTTTTCCTGTCCGTCAATCCCTCCCATAAGTCCTAATCCTTTTTATTTACATCAGAATCTTTTCATACCCCATTTTTTTGCAAAATCGGATGGATGCATCCGGACCGTGTGTCCGGTGGGCAGCCGAGTACTGGACAAGGTAGCCCACCTCCCTCAGAAACAAACACCCTCTCCCTCAAACTTTTTGTTCTAAATGCCAAATTCTTGATTTATAAGATGCCTTTGCTTCAGACTCTGGTATTCGTCCATTGTCCAGATATTGTCTTAACAATTGAGACATGAGCATCAACTTCCGTAGCTGACTCCGAACTCTCTTTTCTAAGCTATACTTGCATTGGAAATGATCGTCAAGACAGCCGTGGTGGGGACAGTTGCGTCTACGCTAAAAAACGCGTACATTGCTGCTGTTGGACCTCCCGCACTTTTCCGCGGTAGAAGGCAGCTGCTGGCTCCAAGTTGAACTAAAAAATGAATTCTCCTTACCCTTTGGCTGTGTCTGTTGTCCTCCCAACGCCAAAGAGAACTTTAATCGTTTACTTTCACTGACATTTCATGCTGCGGCCGACTTGAGCTTTAAGTATCAATAGGTTGCGGGTGACTTCGATCTTCCTGAAGCACGTTGGTCTCCGCCTTCCGGCCCCAGAAGGTTTGAAGACTTTATTGAGGCTGTGGATGTTGAGATGTGAACTCAGGTTGTCGATTTTTACAACTGAGGATCAAGCATACTTGACCCAATTTTCTGCAGAGGTTGCAGTCCTTTGTTAATGCCATCCCTAGATCCACTCGGAGACTCAGACAACGACATAGCTGTTTCATCGTTAGAACTGGAGGCTGACTAAACGTTGTTCCCAAAGAGTAGCCTTTTCCGCGATTTCCGATCAAATAACTCGACCGAATTATTAACACGCCTTTATTCGTACGATTGGATTGATTTCTTCCTTAGTTCGGATGTCACTGTTTGCACTGATAAACTGTACTGTTTTGTCCCTCGTCAGAAAATAATTAATGATGCAGATGAGGTTTTTGTACCCCTACCCTAGCGCCGCAGGTTGCGCAGACTTCCTCGGCGTTTCCACTTCAGAACGAAGTTTCCGTTCTGCCCTCGATTTGTGATATTTTTGAGCGAGCTAAGAGACTGTCTGAAGAAAAGCAGCTAGCCGAATAGGTCCAATTGGCTGAAAACCGTTCGTTAAATGTCTCGAAACTTTTCTATCGGGAAGTGCGAACTCACAGAAAGACGCAACATCCCACCCTCCGAGATGCTCTCTGGAATTCTATAATTGATGCCCAGTTAACCGCTGATAGCTTCAATACTTTCCTGTCCAAAACGTTTATTGAAAACTCGACCACTCCGCTTCCGACCATCCAGGCATTGACCGGGCGGTTCTCGAAACAATAACTTTCACTCTCTGGGATGTGACTTTTGCGATTCGGTGTTTTCGCCAATCTCATAGCCATGGACCTGGTGGTGTCCCAGCAAGCATTTTAGAAACCGATGCAAATACGATTTTCCCATCCATCTTTTTCAAGATATTTAATCTCGTTTTTTAAAGTGAAACCTACCCTACACTGAGGAATAAGCGACAAACTTTTGAATTTTATATCCTCTTACTTGGGCGATCGTACACGACGAGTCAAGATTGCCAACTCTATCTCCAATCCCACATGTGTGAGGAGTGGAGTCATTCGGGGTAGAGTACTCGAACCGCCTTTCTTTTGCCTTTTTGTTAACGATGTGCCCGATGTCTGTATTTTTATGACTGAACTAGAACTGTACATATATACATGACATTTCAATGCCCTACACCCACCTTTACTTTACAGGCAGGGAACTTAAAGACACATGTCCATTCTTCCTTTAGTGAACTAGACAGAATTAAAAGAGAACTTTGAAATACATTGTCATCCTCCTCATTCCCATCCCAGTTAAGTAGTTTTACCTAACGATCTCAAAATGGGAAGTTTAATAACCGGCGTGTTCTTCTGTAAACGGACCGTTTTACTGAGGATTTTAAGTGCTCACAGCCTAAAATCCTGCTTAAAACTATCAAACCACACTGGAACTTCGACCGGCCTCGCGCCATACTCGAAACTAACAAATTTTCGGGCGGCCAAGTCGGATGAGCTGGAGTTGCGCATAAGCCCATATTTTCAGTAGTGCTTCCCAATGATATGGGCTGTGTTGATCTTTAATACCAATGGGAAACCAAGACTCATGAAATTTTTCGAAAAAACTGTAAAAAGCCTTACCAGCTATATAAGTTGGTTCTTTAGGATGAGGCTGACGAACAGGAATTTCTTGCAGAAACCTTCCGCAAGTTGACTAGACGCTCATGCGACTCCTGCAACTTTCTGGAGATCAGGAAGTAACAAAAAACGTTTGTCATCCGTCTTTTAGCAATAAAAAATGCTCTCGCCTCATTTATCGACAGTATGCCACAATTTATGTGGTTTTTTGCGTTGATGCCGCTGAAAGCGAATTGGGGATTTTGGATCTTATTCAAGTTTTCGTGGATCTCTTGGACAAGACGTTTGAGAACGTCTGCGAACTTGATATAATTTTTAATGCGGATAAGGTAATTATTCTTGTATTTTTTGGCGATTTGAAGAGTGGAGCAGCATCCATGTTCGATAAGTGCATGCTTAGAGCACCGCGATATGTCCCGACAGCGATAAGTGTTTACGAGGTGGTTCGTCAGAGGGAGGGATGTTCGCTAGTCCTCACCGGACGAAGACCTCATTTTGACCTGCCATGAAGTGTAGTTACCGCAACTTACCGAAGAACCATACTTCGTTCAATAATTTTAAGATCGATCTTTTTTATTTGTCACGAACGCTAACCACAGCAGCAGGCAAAGCTTGGTGTGCCCTCACAAAAGACCGGCATATTCCAAGTTTCCAGAGTCAGCAGGCAAGCCTGACGTATCCCTCCGGCACCCCAGCAGTGCAATTTTGTGCAAGTTATACCACTAAAAATAGCCACTAGCCAAACGATAGTCAGAAGGCGTCTTTGCACTATTGATTGTTGCAAAGATTCCCTTTTACTGATTGGATTTTCTAGTCATTCAACGAACGCCTGAGTGCCGTTCGAACTCCCTCTTTTTGTTGTTAGGGAAGTCCTCTGGCCTTCTCACCTTTCAACACTCTGTGGTATCCGTACATTTTTAGGTCCACTATCTACTAAATGAGCTGATTTGTGGCGGCATAGTCCTTGAGACAAATGTTAGCGAGATTCTTAAACGCATCGAAGAGCAGGAGGCATTGGGCCATCTCGACTTTGGGCGTGGGGGTCCAGCAAGCGATCAGCTCGCTCTACAATATCAACCTATCAGTCCCTTACCCTCGATGGTCTCAAGTACGTCTACTCGATTGCGCTCACATCTCCGTTCATCCGGGCGCTCTATCCTATCTTCCTCCACGGCTGTCGCTTCTGCTGCCGTCGCCACCGTCACTGGCGCTTGGAAGAAAGCATCCTTGTCATCTTCCACTACATTTGACACTTCCGGCTTTCGTGACATCGCCGACACGAACCAGGAGTCCAAATGTACTAAGTCCAACCTTGCAAGCTGTGCCGACGAATCTAGGAAGCTTTATCTGTGATATTTTTTAGCCGCACCTGATCTCCGTATTTTGTCCTTACTTCCAGAGTGTTCTGTTGTAGGTCTTTGAAGCACTTTTCTTACATTTTTGCTGTACCACATACTTTGTTCTTTTGACTTAATCAACAAGCGCGCTTTTGCATTTTGCATGTGTCTGTACCTTTTTGGACCTGTGCATTTATGTCTCAGTAGCATTTTATTACTCTTGCTACTACTTTGTTGTTACAGTCCTGACAGCTGAGTATTCGTATTTCGCTTGCCTTTTATAACTGGTCTGGATCGTTATTACTTTACGCGACCGTCTCCTGAATACAGAAACTACACAGAAAAGTTCTTTTTGTCCTCCTAGAGGTCCCGCCTCCGTCTCCATCAACTCCCGTCTGATGGCCTTTCCCTTTCTTTTTGTCGCTGTGACTTTCTTCCCCGTCCGACGTCTCAACGTCCTTGTGCTGGGAGAGAGAGAGCCCTGAAGCTCTTGCCAGGATGTATATGCAAAGTTAGAGAGGCATATTAAATCCCGGGTCAGGGCATTTAGGTCTCGTAGAAACACAAGTTGATTTCACTGACCCTCAGGGTGGGCTAGTGAGTCGTGATCGTTGGGATTTGACCAGGAATGGTCACGTGGGCAAAGAAAAAGGCATTGCACAGTCTCATCAGTAGTTGATTTTGGTCCTGTCCGGTGGGCACAACGAGTGACATTTACTGGTCGACCCGGGCAGGTTACGGAGTACCACCAAATACGGTTCTTTCGAGGTTGTAGTTTTACGTATCGTTACACTCGTGAGTGTCTTGGTCTTTTTAGGACTTTGGGCAATTGGGCCTATTCAAAGACGCCAAATGTGTCACGGTTGCAGTCTAAAATGCTCCAAATCCTCCATAACGCGCACAGTTGTTATCATGACGGCCCTGATGGGTGTCGTATTTTATGCGGTCTGTGGCAGTGCATCCGGAGTCTCCAGTTCGCTAACCTCTTGAGCACGCAACCTAACTCCTAACGGGGAAGGTCAGGATTAAATGATTGGGTCGGAGGTGTCGACGTATATTGTCTTGGCACAATCAGTGTTAATTTGGTTCCACAAAACCACCTGCGGCGAGGGCTGATGTCCGTTTGGTAATTTCGGTAATTTAAGTGGCTCTTGTTAGGGGTGGGCATTTTAAGTGTAATTCTGATGTTTAAGTCTGCGATACTTCTCGTTCCGTCTTCCGGTGGGCTGACGCAGTACACTGTCAGGCAAAATACAACGTCCGCGCTGTTTACATGGACATCTGAGAGGTCATTTTCCTCCGTACCTTCAGGAGAAAAGGAACCTTAAGACAGGTGGTCAAGCAGACCATACACATAGCCGGAGAAACTTTTGTCGCTTCTGACCAACTGGATTCTGGCTGAGCCATCTCATTGCAGTTTGAACGAGGAATGGGGAGACGATAGACAACTTCCTTATCCTTGTTCTCGTCCAGATCTTAGAAAAGTACCCCAGAAAATATACGTCTTCGCAAGGACAGCACATTTCGCCTGCCGACAAACAAACTACACGTTCTTTTTGCGGTGTCCAAAGGTTGTCTGAAGCTCGCTGTAATCTCGACAGGCACACCGACTTCCAACAACCTGAAGGTGATTTAGGCGATGGCCAAAAGGTAGCGGCTGGTCAGTTAAGTAGACTCTCCAATGTTCCACAAGTCTAAGACGTGGAACCGTCCTCTCAGTGATCATGGGTGGCAGAAAGTACAATATCCGTTTTGCACATCCTCAAGACCTGGATCGCAGGTCGGTCTCAGGACAATTTTTTGAATCTGTTGAGGTATTTCGCTAGGTACTTTGTTTTCGTCTAAAAGATGGTTTCTAAGCTACCTACGATGGCTTTGGACCCAGTAGTGTAGTTTGGTTCAGCCCCAGTGAATTCGATGACTGGCATACTGTAGTCCCTACTTTTTCTTACGGTCTTTTGGTGTTAACAGGCGGCCCTACATGAAACCTGAATTCGTAAGTATATTTTGCAATGGGAAGGATGCCTCACCACTGGCCAATAGGAAGCGTAACCGTAAACTGGTCCGCGCATTGCGGCACGCTGGCTTTCGGTCGAACACACTTTTGGTTGACTGGGTACATTTCAATGGGAAAAAATTACTACTCAAGTGAATTGCAATTAACTCTGGAAAATCATGATAAAATCAGGATACCCTGAACATTTTACTCAGACGGTAAGATAACATCGTGACGGGATGATGGCTTGGGTGACAGGAAACGGAATTATCTCAGAATCAGTCACGGTGACTAGTGGGGTAAAGCGAGCTGGGTACTCGCTTCCATCCTATTCAGTCTCCCCTTGTCCGTCATGCTGTTAGACGCCTACAATGAGTGGTGGTTGGGGACTAAACCGACGGGGAATAATTAAACACTCGCCATCCGAAAGCATTTTCGAGGGTATCCAAGGACAGCATTCACAACCTAATGTTCGCGGATGGTTGTTTGCTAAACATAATAACGAATATGGACATGCAACGGAGTGCGGACCTCTTCGCCTCCGGCTGCTCCAGCCGCGGTCTGTACATTAATACAGAGGAGACAGTGTAACCGTATTAATTAATGTCAAATGTTAGCTGCACCGGATCCCGTACCAATGTTCCTGGAGCACAACTCACAGACGCGGGGATAGTCGCTTACCTTGGGGGTGCGATTTAAAAAATATCAAGACTGACGACAAAATCGCAAGGCGGATCTCTGGAGTCGGCCAAGTCTTCAGCCGATAAAAGCACACTGTCTGGAACCGTCGTGGCATACTACTCGAATTAAGATTGAGTATCACAGGACTGTTGTCCTGCAAACTGTGTTGCAAGGGGTGGAGACGTGGACTGTTTATGAAGATCAAGTAAGAAGACTTGATCATTTTCAGTCTGGTCGTCCCCATATAAAGTGATGATAAAATTGAGATCTTGGAAAGGGCTTGCGTTCTCTTCATCCATCTAGTGTTGAGGCAAATGCAACTGTGATGGAGCAACCACGTTGTGAGGATGGACAACGAGCGCACGTCCCAGCGACGGTGACGTAGATACGGGTGATGCCAAACATGGAGGATGAAAACATCGTTACAAAAATACCCTGAAGACCTCCCTCTAACACCTGAAAATCAACCTGAAGAAATGGCGCATCTCGTTTAAAATTGACAGGCATGGTGCATTGCCGTAAACACTGATGCGGGCATCTTCGGAACAAGCCAAATAACCTCTCCCAAGGCAAAGACAGATACCTGCAAGACTCAAGTGTTATGAAGTAATGACGTCAGTACCCCCTGCCTGCCATCCCGTCCACATAGTCAACGAACGCCTTGGACACGGATCGACCTCGTTGGATATTTTCGGACCCAGGGCAGTGTTGACACGACCAACCAGTCTCTCATCCACGACACACTACCGATGCCGGCAGCATTACCATCACTAATGAGGATATTCCTGTCGACTTACAGGACATAAACGCCTCTGCCCCTATAAGCTAAAATATGCATTCAGTTTCAACCTGACATAAGTGTTATCACGTATTTTCACCAAAAAAGGCCTGGTTGTTCACTTTCGAATCCATCGCACAGAGACTGGCGAACCAGTGCTTGGAGCACAACATACACCCGCCTGGTCGTATTGCCCAGGCACATTCAGCCACCTCATGGGCCGACTCAGCCACATGCGCCTCTACGGTAAAACCACATAACCAAACATTCCCATCAACACATGCACCACACACGAACACGCTCGATATCACACATCACAGCCAGGGATAAGACATTTCTCACGAAAGTGTGGTCCCTCTGATACATGTGAGAGCCGAACTGTCCAGCCCCGCCCCGAGCGAAGTCTAGGTATGTTGTGCGAGCGGTCTGGTCGTGTGTGTAGCACGCACAGCGGGCTGTTCTTAGTCACGTTTACCAAACTCAGCATCATTTGGTTGAGCGGCTCGGACAGCTGACTGGTGCGCGCGAAAGGGCAAAAAGAGAAATGTGGGCCAAAATCCCGAAATGCGTTTTCGATTAGGAAGGACTACTTTGACGCGGTTGTAACACTGATTATCTTGTGGCATAATCTTATAACACTTCGGACTCGGCAGGATGTCGGCTTTTAAATGTACTTTTTTCAATCTCCTGTAGAAACCATACTCGGTGACAAATGACCACTTAAGTGGCGTGCATTTTTCACATTGATTTTCGATGGTCTTGCAAATCCAAATATATTCTATAAGAAACATGAATAAAAATATCCTTTCTTCCTTTGATTTCGTAGAGAATCACGTCACCTTCATATTTTATACTCGAAGAGGGAATATAATTAGGTTTTAAAAAAGTTTCTGATCATGAGATTTTTCAAGACCGTGCAATGTCCACTCATACAGCATCCTACCTGTCCGTTTACCACTGCTCCTCCTGAAATGCACATCATTGTCAGCATCCATTGCAAAATTTTATGAATTCAATATGACATCTTTTTAAAGGCATAGAAGAATATATGATTCTCCTCACGCGGAGCGCATGCGCCTTGTAGACTGAAGTCATTAGGCGCTAATGCAACGGCTGATCAGGCTCCAAATTATTCGGGAATTAGAAAACCTTTCTATGACCTAATTATACCCTTCCTTCGAGTATAAAATATAAAGATGACGTGATTCTCTATGAAACGAGTGAAAGAAAGGATATTTTTGCTCATATTTTTAATAGAATATATTTGAATTTACAAGACCATCGAAAATCAACATGAAAAATGTATGCTACTTAAGGGGTTATTTTTTGCCGAGTGCGATTCCTACAGGAGATTACAAAAAGTGCATTTAAAATCTGACATCCCGCAGAGTCCGAAATACCATAGGATTATACCGCGGGATAATGAATATTACAACCCCACCTAAGTTATCCTTCCCGATCGAAAACGCATTTCAGAATTTTGGCCGACATTTCATGAGATCGGTCACTCACTGTAAGTCGACGACTCGGCGCATTTTCTTCATTATGAAAAATTTGACGCGCTTGAAATTACCGCGGTGTGCCAAAGCCGTGGCTTCGAAAGTGGCAACTGACGATTAAACTCTGTCCC